CATCAGCAGAATTAAAGTTGCTGTCAAACAGTTCATCGTCATACGTGCCTTTCCTTGCATCAGCAATCGAATGGTCAGCACAATGGCCAGCGTGGGCACTTTCGGGCCGCTCGGCTGACCCTGTCCCTCTTGGTCACTCGGGGCGTTCCCGAAATCCATCAAACGCGTTGCACTGAAACAACAGACATCACTGTCTCTGATATTCGTCGACTGCTAGAGCGAAACGTTTCAAAAAGGCAGTAATTAGGCGCAGACGTTAGAAAAAACATCTTATGAGTGGTCGCTGCATTTACCGGTACTAGAGCCAGAGGCAGGAGGTATAAGAGGGACTACAAATGGAGTCGTGCGACACTCATTGCATGACGCGAACTGCTTGTGGCTACACAGCAAGGACAAGCACTAAGTGTCGATTAGTAGTTTAGCATTCAAGATCGTCGATCAACCTGCTGCGCTTTGACAAACAGCGCCAACCGACTTACCCGCAGGTCAAAAGGAAATAAATATTTTCAATTATTGATAAACGAATCATTTCCGCGTTTAGAGATGGCTAACGTAATAAAAGGAATTTGCCATCAGCACCCATAATCGTAATTTCCACACTTTCTGCAGTAAAACGGTTGCTAATTTCTGGTATATCAATATTTAGAACATTGACAGGGGAAAGGAGGGAAAGTAAGTTACCGTTAAAATATCGGTCTTCCTTCACTTTCATAATTTGACAAGTCATCATCATCATCAGTTGGACCCCTTCCTTCCATAAAATTGAGGTCTCATCTCCATTTCTATGCTATCAGCCGTACCTACGTTGACACATCCGCGTCCAAGTGAAATAAAAACACGAATAAGGTGTCGTTAAGAGAATTAGTAGTCAATTCTGAAAATTCAACGGTTCATTTGTAATGTTTAACCAAGGAACTGAATTCTCTTCGGCCTGTTTACCCAGCACTGTGGTGAACGGCTGTTCAATTCAAAGAGCAAAGTCATTACTGTATAATGATGTGGCCGCTGTATGCAGCATTGATCAGAACGGCGAAGCGACGCCTAGATTAAATGTTCAGTAAACTATAACTGGCAATTAGTGAAGACATTTTTCGTCTAGAATATGTACACATTTTTTGCCAAACAAAACGAAACAGAAACGTGAAACAATAACAGCAGCAGAAAACATTCGTACGTAAGCGAAGTAAGCCAGTGTGAAGATTACAGTATATTATGATAGCCAAGGCAGTCAGCTACTATTATATTTTTCCTATAGGAGATTGACCATTTCAGGGGACCACAGGTAAGTTAAGCTTAAACAGAGCATTAAAGATATTGTAATTCAGGCTTCAGCCTAGCTAGCTTACCTCTGTACATTCATATTATGAGACCGGGTTGATTTTCAAGTTGATTAATGTCATATACAGTATGTAAATCCGTCCCATTACTTCGATAGGCATCTTTGATTAGAATCGAAGAGACTTCCTTTGCCTTTTTGATCGGTAAGAAACAGCAGCTCGAATCGATAACAGCCAACAGCACGCACACTCTGAAGAAGGCCTGTGAGCTGCATATCAACACGTTGGTTAGGAGTCTTCCAACCGAAGGAACTTGTTTGATCACGTTTTAGTTAATAACTATGCCCCTTGTTTCACGAACATTCTACTCTCTTTGGTAAAGGAAAATAAGCAACAATACGTCCTTCTCAAAAACGATAATATGGGGAAGAGTGTGTAGCAAAACATGAAACCGAAGGAAACAATAGCTCGAATGTGGTATTCAAATTTTAATACACAGTTTTGTTCATTGCGGTGTGCAGTGCTCAAGTGACTAAGAAATTGTCTGGAAAAATCAAACAGCCCGGCACTAAAATATTATGAGAGGTAATAGCAACAGATGCTATCGTCCGCCTAGGCGGACAACCACGTTGTTATAATGCCGGATTATTCGGTATTGATCATTCAAACGGCGCAAAGAGCACGTTAACGTCACGTTAACTCCGTCTGCTTGCCTCATATATAAAATATTCTCCGGACGCTCCATTCTTGT